TCTTATTTTACCTTATTCTTAGCATATCTATGAAGAATGGCATACCCTTTTATATTTTTTTAATTAATCTTTGTCATAGATATACTCCATGGAAGAAACTCTCAAAAAAATTAAATAACCCATTCGTTTTTATAACTTCTGAATAAATTACATCACTAGTGGACTGAATAAAACAGTCAGTCGCTTAAGATGCTTGTTAGTGTATCCAGGTCCTTAAAAGTGACAGGAGCTATGATTTCGATATGTAATCTTGTCAGTGTTATATGTAACTAAATAAAAAATTCCCCCAGAAAATAAAAAATACTTGATCCAGAGTCGCGATGGCTCAGGGGATAGAGCGTTCGCCAGTGAGGTGAAAGGGGTTCGAATCCCGGCGATGGATGGTTGATACGAATCCGCATCCGGCCTGCCCCGACCACAGTGCAGACGTGAAATATACTCAGTGGTAGACGGATCATGGATTAGAGTCCCCTTGCAGTCAGGCTAACCGTGAGAGGTTCTCGTGGTCTTCCTCTCCATGTAACGTAAATGAGGGTTAGCTCCATCAAAAAGTCTTACACGAAGGCAAATTTCTGCCCATACTCGATCCAGGAGTTCCCTTGTCTTCTGGATTGGGTCCAAAATTACAAAGCTACGGAATTGAACATTGATCTACGTAAATTCAGAATTGAGTTGGCTTTTTAACTCCGGTTATAAATTGAAATAAAATGTGCAGCCCATTTTCTTATTACTATTTTTTTTTAAGTTTCTTTTAGCAAGTAGAAAAAATGTTCAACAGAGAGTCAATCTCGGTAAAAAAAAAATTAATGTTAAATTAAATAAAAATATATTTCAGAAAATCTATTTTCTTGTGAGTTTTGCATTCATTTACTGATAAAGATCGTTTGAAACAACATATTGCTAGTAAAATACCGTCCGCACAGATTGTGGTTTTAATTTTCTAAACCAAATAAATAAAAAAGTGAAAAGAATAAAATTAATATATGAACCCCGGAAACATTTTAAGTTGCAAAATAAACAAAACAAAAAAACACAGATAAGACAGTTATTTGAAAAAGTAAAAAAAAAAAAAAAAAAAAAAAAACAAAGATACCGGAATTCAATTTTCCTTCCATTTTTAATATTTTTTTTAAGTATTTATTTATTTATTCTTTATTCAGTATGTTTAAAAAGGAAATATGTTAGATAGAATTTTTAATATCTTTTTTTTAAAAACAATTGGAATCGTCTCACTTTTTTCCAGAAACTGCCTAAGTATTACTTGAATATTTGTCAGTTTTAGATTCATTTGTTTTTTGAGAAGAAATCGAAGAAAAAAATGCACGTAAAAATATCTGAAACTTTGGTTAGGTTTTTCTTGAATCAAATAAAAATAATTATATAAACTAAATAAAATTTTGGATCCTACAAATATTCAGAAGTAGTAAATTTGTACAGGTGTACCATACAAAATAAAATATTAAAAATTAATAATCAAAATACTTAGTAAATAAAACGGTATTTTATATTATTATTATACACTAAGCTTTAAAATATTGTGTTTTACTTAAACGATATTAAAATCAATTTTAAAAACAGAATAATATTATACAAGATCTTACCTACCTGATGTTGTTGTTGTTGTTAATTTACGTCGCACTAGAGCTGCACAATGGGCTATTGGCGACGGTCTAGGAAACATCCCTGAGGATGATCCGAAGACATGCCATCACAATTTTGATCCTCTGCGGAGGTTAACCTACCTTATGATTTTACCGAATTTGTGGCCCCGCAGTGGACTGATCGTTAAGACACGGTTCCCAGCAGATCACCGGAGTCAAGCATCACTGGCTGCGGTCAGTGTGCGTGTGGGTGACCATTTGGTTCAGTCTGCGTAGGAACCGAGGGCGTGCGGTATGGGTCCTCGTTAAGCTGTTCTACCGTAAAGGGCTCGAATTCGCGTGCAGGTCGTCGAGCTACCGAAGTGGGGGTGCCATCCTCTCTGCAGAGGATCAAAATTGTGATGGCATGTCTTCGGATCATCCTCAGGGATGCTTCCCAGACCGTCGCCAATAGCCCATTGTGCAGCTCTAGTGCGACGTAAATGAACAACAACAACAACAACCGAATTTGTGTATGTCGATTTCAAAGCTGAAACTCGTTTTATTTCAAAAGTGACAGATTTTTTGTTTCATTATGAATTTCTTCGTTATAAATGATATTTTTAGTTTATTATTTGTCTGAATGCGCTGGTTTATAAAGAAAACAAGGGTATATATTCATATGTATACATTTGTCTGCTCCTTTGAAAATAACACTTACGACGAAATACATAAGACTAACGTATCGACGGATTTAACGTGCATTAGTCACCAGTTACTACACGGGGAGTCTTCGGCCGGCGAGGATCGAACCTACGACCTCTTGGACATGGACCCAGTGCTCTACCAACCAGGCTATCCCGACCTTGTGTAACAATCTATTTTTTATAACCGTCGTTGAACAGCCGGCCCAAGTTTTTGGGTTTACGACTACTTATGTTCAACTCAGTAGCCTTGTAATTTTGAACCCAATCCAGAAGACAAGGAAACTGCTGGATCGAGTACTGGGAGAAATTTGCCTTCGTGGAGGACTTTTAGATGGAACTAACCTGAATTTGCGTTACATGGAGAGGAAGACCACGAGAACCTCACACGCTTAGCCTGACGGCAAGGGGACTGTAACCCATCCGATACCTGATCCGTCTATCACTGAGGATATTTCACGTCAGCACTGTGGTCGGTGCAAGCCGGATGGACTGGTTGTTGTTGTTCATTTACGTCGCACTAGAGCTGCACAATGGGCTATTGGCGACGGTCTTGGAAACATCCAGGAGGATGATCCGAAGACATGCCATCACAATTTTGATCCTCTGCAGAGGGGATGGCACCCCCGCTTCGGTAGCCCGACGACCTGCACGCGAAGTCGAGCACGTTACGGTAGCACAGTTTAACGAGGACCAATACCGCACACCCTCGGTCCCTACGCAGACTGATCCAAGTTGTCACCGGATGGACTGGAATGGATGGTTGCATCGACTGGGACTCGAACCCGGTTCACCTCATTGGAAGGCGAATGCTCTATCCCCTGAGCCATCGCAGCTCATATAAAAACATTTTAGAGAAATCAGGGTGCGTAGCCAAATCTTTCAACCAAAAATAAGCACCTTTTAAGTACCGTTTAGGCACTCAAAAATATTTTTAGGCACATTATCAAAACGCAAAATAATAATCAAAGACTTAACATAAACATGATAAAATAGCTACTTTCTGACAAAGAACTCTTTTCTTCATTATATTAGTCATTAAAAAATGATCAAGAGATTTTTCGGTTAGATATAAGAGGGTGAAAAATGAAGCTTGAAATTGAGAATATCTTGCAAAATGCAGCAGAGTTGCACATGAGAGTGCAAGAATCTCACCGAACCTAGCTCAGTAGATGCACTTGCAGACTCACAAGTATTTCATAAAACATGTAAAATGATTGGTGCTTTCATACGCTATGGATCGATGGTACGCCGAAATGGATTTTGGTTGAATGAATTGTTAAAACATAGTACATGTGAAAGATCGACATGGTAAGGAAAAAATCTCATTTTCGAAAAGGGAAAATAAAGCACTTTTTAAAAACACCCAATTAAAAAAGCACCTCTATCGGCTTTTAAAGAATGAAAATGAAAAATAGGCATCTTTAAGCACTTTTTGAAAAAGCTACGCACCATGTTATAAATAATTTAAACGTAAGTATAAATGTTAGAAAATAATAGGATGAGGTATTTAAGCTCTTACAAAAGTCTGTCTATAAATATGATGCAATTTTAATTTTACAACTGCTGGTTAAAATCATCTGTTGATAGATTTAAATTTGGAGAGAATGAAAGCTGCGTGTTTTTTTTTTTAAATCATTATAAGTTAAACTGCCAAAACCATTCAACACAACCGAAACAAATTTCTCCAAACGATAAACCATTTTCAGACACTAAATTCTAAATTTGTATCTCTTTTCACCAATAAAATATATTTTTCAAAACAGGTTTTAATTGACTTTAACTCTTTCCAGTGTAGCAAATTTTGAAACTAGCAAAAAACTTTCACGACAGCCAGCCTGTGAGTGATTGCAACCAGCGATTCTGAATTCTAATAAAAGAGATAAACTTGAACACTGTGTTGTTTAGAAGAGGATAGTGGAAGCTAAAAATCAATAAGTAAAAAATTCTACACTTTTAGTAGTTTAAAAAATTTTTGAAATAAGTGTTGCAAGTCTGGCAAACAGACTAAACTCAAACTAATTTACTTTTTGAAGTGATACTTCTTATGCAACTTCCAACAAGGTTGCGTTAAACGTTTAACGCTACATTTTAATTGGCTGGGAAATCACGTGGTAGGATCCAGTTTTCCCTCATTCATTTCCACATTGTTTTGGTTCTCACTAGCATAAAAATAATAAAAGTATTGTTTTTCGATAAATATTTTAGTTTGATTTGATACACATATAATTTAATTGGGTAGTATTGTTTATTTTCAAACTTAGTGGATAACAATTGTAAAAAATGAGTGAAAACAATCCCACGGACAATGCAACGGATTTAAGGTTATGTCAAAGTACGTCTCTTGTGAATATCAATTGATTGTTAGGTTTTCTCTTCTGAAATTATATTATCATGCATTCACATGCATTATTAATACAAATACATTTTCCAGGGCGAGACGATGAGGCAACCACTAGCACTGGTTCAAGAGGTCCACGAGGGAAAAATGCACAATATTACCGTGATTACAGAGCACGGAAGCGAGCGGAGCAGGAAAAAGAGTCATTGAATAGAACTAGTGATCCTTCTACGACTGCTGATTCTTCCACAATTAACGTCGCAGGCTGCGAAGTTTAACTTCTTGCGCGCAGAGGGACTCCACGCACTATTTTTTTTTTTTAAATATGTCAGAATTTCTCTCCTTTTGTAATGAGACACATTTAGAAAAAAAAACTAATTCTAGAATAAAGTTTTTATTTTTAAGTCAAAACACAAAAAATAAGACATGATAATAACAAATGATTGGAATACAGCACTTAAATACAATGATCATTTAGAGAAAATATATATATACACATACAGTCATTTCTTAACAAGTCCCACAAATTATTTTTTTTATCCTAATACAGCAAAATTAGTAAAACTTTTAACGGAATTGTAATGGACTAATTCTGAGTCCAATGGTGTCTTTACCAACTTCAGCAACACTGCAAACTTTACAGACACTTCCCTTATATTCAGGGAAATAACTTGATTGACACAATGGACACTTAACTTCAGGTTTTCCTCGATAAATAGGCTTGTAGGAATGACCACAAATTGCGAAGGGGTTATGCTCATCGTATAACAGTTGGTGCTGGTCAACAGGATTCTTCTCACAAGCTTGTAGGATCTTACGCGTTTGTTGGGCAACTTCAGCTCTGGGGCCCAGTTCTAACAGCCTACGAGCAAACGATCCAGCTGTCTTATAATTTTTCAACTTGAAAAACAGATTGACCGCAGTACGAAGGGTCAATATCTGATGCACAGCTTCTAGCTTACAGTGGGTAAAATAAGCAGCCATCTCGCAAGTTCGCTTTTGTTGATCTAAGGTGTCTTTCGGCAGTCCCTTGCGTTCAAGTTCGAGCGACAAACCGAGGACGTATTCTCGGCATATTTCTAAGAGTTGCTGGGCTTCTGATATCTCCTGCTTACTTTCCACCAATAGCAGTGGGATGCTCAACAGCAGTGTTCTAAATCTCTCTATCGCTTCTTGAAACTTGCCAGAAGTTGTCAACTGATAGCAAGATTGGAGCCTATCAATTAGGGTTGTCAACTTCAATGCAACCGCTGGAACACCATTCTTCACTCCGCTAGGTTCATTCCAATTGCGAAGCATGTAGCTATTGAGTGACGGAAGTATAGATGTAGCTTGATAGGAAGTGTGACTACCAGTATATGTGATCATAAAAGCTTGCTTGTAAGGTTCAAAGTTGACAACACCGATTTGGTCGTGCAGCAGACGGAAAGCGGTTTCAAAGGATCCAGCAAGGATGTGGTCGACGGGTAGTTTGGAGTTGTTGACCCAAGTTTGGGTGGGTGCAACACCTTGAGTGGGAGCAACAAAGTAACCTTCCTCCCCTGAAGATGTTGTTCCAGCACTAGTTTCCAATTCAGGAGGAAGCTCTAAATCTTCATCTTCAATGTCCCATCCACCTTCTTTGGTGTCACTTTCAACAATGGAATCAACATTTCCATCCTCATCCAATATGAGATCAGCATCATCGCCCCAACCTGAAACAGTTATGTGCATTTTTAGAAGTTGAAAATCTTGTTCAACCTTTTTAGGTCAAGCAAATAAATTTTATAAAATGTCGTATTATTTTACTTGAAATATGCTTACATTTCATTCAAAAAATTTCATGAATAAAAAATTATATTTCATTTAAGAAATAAAATGGGACGAATAGGTCCCATTCACCAAATCAATGAACAAACCATTTAGTTAAACGCTTGTTGTTTTTTTTTAAATAATTTTATTTACTGACTTGCAACTTTAATCCATCATAAAAACACAATGATAAATCTCAAAAGGAATAATTATACATTTCAAAACATTTCATTTGTCATAACCATTTTAAATTTTAAAAAAACTTTAATAGCTTAAAAATTTCTCAACAGAAAGTGTTTACTCCAATTGAATTACTATTAATTTTTGGGTGTCTGAAGAACCCTTGGCAATAGCAGAAAAATAAAGTTAGTGAAAAATATACATTACAGTGTTGGTAAAAAAAAAATATTGATTGAAAGGGTGCACTCTTGTACCTTCGGCTGAAAATGGGTTAAAAACTTATTTTTAAAAAATTTCATTTTGAGAACATAATGTTTAAAGAAACTTCATTTAAGAATTAATTATTTTAAATTATTTAATGCTATGAACTATTTCAAATTATTAAAGAATTTACCTTAATTTGACTTTTCAGTTAAAGAATTTTCTTTGGTTATCGTTGGTTTGGTTTACTTTGGTTGAAATTTACTTTGGTTTTTACATGAAAATGGAAAAGAAAAAAAATCTCATTTACCAAAAGAGAAAATGCTTGATTTTCCAAAAATCAAACATTTTTTTTAAATCACCCAATGAAAAAAATCACCTTCAAGGGCTTTTAAAAAACGAAAATCGAAAATAAGCACCTTTAAGCACTTTTTAAGAAATGCTACGCACCATGCTTAAAGAAAACTAATGTTCAAGTGATTTAGATTTTTAAATTATTTATTTTGGTAAAATTAACTTCTGTAACAATTGGTCTATTTTTAATGAAGCTGAGATCATATGATGCTAAATACATTGTTAATTAATTCAGTTATTAAACAGTTATATGTGATTTCTTTAATAAATTAACAATTGGATTATAAGAGTAAGTATTGGATTAACATTACTCATGAGACCACATTGCCACCAACACACTGTTAATTGCAAAATTTTACAGCCTTAATTTCCATGACCATCTTGGCTAACAATAACTGTTATATAAGTGTTTTCCTTTTTTAAAAAAAAATATCATGAAAATGATATAAATCATATGACGAAAATACTTAAATAAATCATATGAAATCATACGGCTATCAAGCAGTTTTTTTTTTTTTTAAGTTCTAAAAAAAATTTTTATAAAATTATTTAACTTAAGTTTGAATTAAGAACTTGTGTAATTTAAACTGTAAGTTGAAGATGTGTGTATTGTTGCTAATTTTAAAAACTACCATTTATTTTTATTTTGTAATTATAATTCTCTTTACTTCATTTTTTCCAAAAACAATATTGTTTTTTAAAATTTCCTTTTGTAAAAGAAATAGATATAGATTAATTATTTTGAGTTTGCATCAACTGTTCTATAAAAAATTTAAAAGCCGAAAAATCTAGGACTAAATCTTTTATAATCTAAATCATATAACCCAGAAATATTGATTTCTTGAGTATATGTCTTATGGTTAAAGAATAAATCTGGTTATTAATAATAACTGGTTTTAATTCATAACAACCAACAGCTATTACTGGTAATAACTACCTACTAATAATCAGCGATTATTACTAATAATAATCAGCAATTTTCTTGAGTATAAGTGTTATGGTTGAAGTAATAAATCTGGTTATTATTGATAATAACTGGTTATAATTAATAATAACTACCTATTAATAATAATCAATGATTATTACTAATAATAACTAGCAATTATCCGCATTAACTAATTACATTGATCGTAACATATACATTAATAAATATGCACATTACACATATTTACATCATTAGACTAGTTTCTCATAATTTTCACAAAATATTAAACTGAATTCTATTTTAACCATAAGAAAAAAACTTATAAAACTAAATCAAGAAGTATAACTGGTTAAAACACAAACATTTATTATAAATTCTTGAATGTTAAAACTTAAAAAAAATTGCTGCACTTTTATTTGATTACATTTATTCACTTTTTTCATAAAAATTTTAAAAAAATAATACATAAAGTAATAAAATTTTAAGTCATTAAATATTAGAAAACCAGACTTTGCAAATTTAAAACTATGATGTAAATTGCAACAAATTATATTTTTCTACAACAATCAATAACAATTACTATCGGCAATCTTGCATTTGTATTTATTTCTTTCAATCCAAGGCAATATTCATAGTTCATTGAAATTAAATACACAAAAGTAAAATGTTATTATACTATGCCAAATAAAAACTTATGATGCATACTCACTATAACAAAACCAAAAATCGCTAAAAATTATATCCGGTAGAAACATAAAAGGAAAAAAAACAAGGTAACAAAATTGAATAAAGAAATAAAAGGGCACTAGCATCTTTGGTTTGTGAAACAAATTTTTTTTTTAAGATAAACACCCAAAAAAATTTTAAACAGTTAGCATTATGAATAATTAGACTTAACTCAGAATGAAAAGCTACACCTAGTTGAGTAATTATCACTAAACAGGAACAAATTGATGCTTTACACAAAAGGCATGCATAAGCTAAGCGAACAAATATCTTTTTTTCTTTTTAAAATTTAGCAGAAGCAATATTTATGCACATAAAGTCTTACCTCTCAGCATGCTGTCTATAAAAACAAAAATTAATGATATAGAAATTGGCTGGCTATGATTTAAATATATGTTTTTTTTTTAAAAATTCTACAAATTTGGTAAGATTAAAATAATAAACATGCTTAAAACAGTAATAAATGAACTTTAATATTAGGAAACAACTTCTTTTGGAATAAAATTTTTAAATTCATACACTGTTGTATTAGCTTCTGGTTAACTTTAATAAAACAAAGTATAGAAAAGAGCTTCTATGTGTATTAAGTGACAAATGATTTAAAATTTATGTCTTTGAAAACAAATAACAGTTTAAAAAATAACAGTTTTAAAAAATAACAGTTTTAAAAAATATCAGTTTTAAAAAATATCAGTTTTAAAAAATATCAGTTTTAAAAAATAACAGTTTTAAAAAATAACAGTTTTAAAAAATAACAGTTTTAAAAAATAACATTTTTAAAAAAATATGTTTTAAAAAAAAGTTTAAAAAAATAACAGTTTAAAACACAGTTTAAAAAAATAACAGTAATAGTAAATTATAGAAACTAAAATATAGACTAGATTTAAAAAAAGGAACATTAAATAAACTATGAAAAGATATAATTTTGATATCTTTTAAAACTGGTGGCATTAAAACATTTTTTAACATTCATTGAACACACAATTTCATATATTTTTTTTTTGCTTTATTAATGAAAAATACATTAAATCAAAATGATTCATAACAAACTTTATTTAGAATGTGCTAATTTCAAATTAATTTGAACATGTGTTAATAAAAGATTTTTCTAACTGAATCCTTGAACTTTTAGAAATAGATCTTTTGTGTTAAATGTATAATTATTTCTATACAATATATATTAAGAATATAGTTAACTTAATAATTGAAAATTATCGTACATATCAAAACTTTAGATGCTAGAAAACCAATTGTAAAATTTCTAATCCAATGAGATTGCAATAAGATGGGTATGAAAATTAAACTGATTGGTCAATTTTTTTACTTATATTGGTGAGTGTTCGTAAGCAATTACCGTTTAAAAAAATAATTCTTAAATTTTTTAGTTTTCTCCAATTTTTCCAGGTCTAATTTGTAACCAATGACAAATTAGATATATTTATTATTATTATTAATTTTTCAGTTGTTCCTTATGCTTATGCATAAAATACATAACAAAACACTTACATTCACCATCAAGTTCATAAAGTTTTAAAAAGCTCATTGCAAGATTAAATGGTTTTGTTTTTTTTTAGGGGGGGGGAGATCCGATTTTTAAAACTAATTCAAATTAATTCATCTTCCCAGACTTTTCGGGCAATTTAGACAAATTCCATGACATTTCAAAGATTTTTCCACATGGATAAAATTTCCTAACTTTTTTTTGTTCTACCTAATTTCACTGTTCAGTGGCCACCCTCTGCATTTGGCATATCAACTACATTTTGAAATTAATGTTTTGACATTAGTTTTTTAAAATTAAAACTTTAATAATGAATATTAACCATCAAGAATCTTACAGCTATGACGCTATTGCTGTTTCAACTAATGCTATGCTAATTTATATATANAATTTTATAAAAATTTGGGGAGGGGGGGATATAATCTCTTCATTAGCTCACACTATTATATCCACAAAAAGGAGTGCTTTCTAATATTGTATCAATATAACCAAATAAAAATATATCAATACAATAGTGTGAGGAGAACTCAAAAAAAAAATTTTGAAACCAAATAGAATCGAACACATTGAGTAATAAATATCACACAAAAACAGAAAATAATGAAATCTATATAAAAGAAATCTATAAAGCGAGTAGCGAATTCAAATGAACTTACATGAACAGGAAAATTTTCAAGAATGATTTAAAATATTTTCGTAATAAGATTGCCAGATTACAAAATATGAAAGCAGAAGCAAAAATAGAGGTATAAGCGAAAATAGAGGGATTTTGTTTCTTAGTGCATTCTTATTGCAGTACTGAAGAGCACTTGATTTGTTAGTTACCAAGAATTGATATATATATATGATATAGTAAGTTTTAGAATACCTTCAACTAGGTTATCATCAGGCATTTCTGCTGCGAGAGCCGTTTTACGAGTTCCAACAGCACCATCAAAGAATCCTTTTGAAACACTCAGTAATGGCCAGTTCTCTTCAGATTTGTTGATGGGGCAAGGCGGTTGAAGAAGAACTGCATTTGGATCTGGCTGAGGTAAGGTGATATCAGATTTTTCCATACTCTCTTTCAAGGATTCCACTTCTTCTTCTAAGCCATGTGTGACAGCACACAGATAGGCTACTGAAGTCTGCCCACAAGTCTGAAATAAATTTAAAAAGCATTTTGAAGGGGTGATTGTGACACCAAGTGAAAAACCCTGAAAGTTTTATGAGCAAAAACTCGATAACAAAATATCAATTTATATACTATTCGTATTTAAAATAATTTTTTTTAACTAAGATTTATAATTAAATTACCTTTGAATAAAGCACACTTTTATAGTAACTAATTTGAGAAAAAATTTAGTTCTTACAAGAATCATGATATCGGATTTTAAGAATGTGAAATCACAGTATTGAGTTTTAAAATCGTGTGAATATGAATCGCGATATTGGATTTAGGAAGGCGATAATACAAATCACAATATCGGATTTTTGAAGTGAGTAAATACGAACATTATTTTTATATCCAGTGAATACGACTAGCGACATTGGATTTCAGATTCGAATGAAAACAAACCGCGATATTAATTTCAAAAACCTGTAAATACAAATTGCGAGGTTGAATTTTTTAATCCTACGAATCGAGATGCATTATTTTTAGATCACCTGAATACGATTCACAATGAATTATTTAAATCAGGTAAATACGAAAACTGATGTTCAATGTTAAAATCATGTGAATATGAATCGCGATATTAGCAGATTCCGGTGCAGTTTCAAATATTAAAACTGAAGAAAATCTGACAAACCACACAAAATATAATAATAATAATATTGCAGAAAAGTAACTTGTTTTGTTTAACGCAATTTGGCGAAGGTTTGAAAATTTAAATTTCATATTGTTAATTCTTACTTTAAATTTCAGATTGCAGTGAAAATTTTGTTGGATTATAAGTTTTAAATTGTAGTAAACTGTAGTTTTTAGTAACTAGAGAAATTAAGAAATAATACATTTTAAAATTTTATCATAAAAATTTAAAAATATATCAGACTGTGTAAGTCTGATATATTTTAAAATTTTTATGAAAAAATTTTATCATAAAACACACAATTAAAAAAAGCAACATTCATACAGTTAAAGTAACATGCTATATTTTCGGACCATTTGCTAAAAACTTACTAAGGGTTACTGCAAAAATAATAGGAAGAGTTTCGTAAGCACTGCTATCATATAAACAATGACAGAAAGTTTTATTATTGTCAGAAACACCAGCCTACTATGGTCATGCATGCAAATTAAATTTAATATATTTTTGATGAGGTAATTTTTAAAAAAATTACAATAGCAAATCTAAATTATTTATTCCCACAAGAATCAGAGAAAACAGAAACGAAAAAAAAGAAACATGAGTTTAGTTACCTTCAATATCTTAACTCGCTCAGCAACATCTCCAAGATATAAAGCATTCTGAAACTGTCCGCTAGTATCCTTTCGAATTTCTGCTATCTTCATCATCTTCCTCAATTTTTCCAAGTTTCCAGTAATTAGATACAGGAATGATAATTTGTCAAAATTTTTAGTTCTTTGGTATGCCATTTCAACTACCTAATAAATAAATCAGAACACAAAATTATAAATTATAGTTTTATTAATAGGTGAGTATCTGCTTTGCTTTTTAGATATTTCCTTTTTTAAAAAAAAAAAAGAAATCAGAATACTGTTATAACAATTTTCAGAAAATTTTTAGAGCGTTGTGAAATGAATGCTGCCAATATCATTAAACATAATGAACTTAAAAGTATTTCAATTTTCTTCTAGCAATTAAAATTCAAAATAAAACAATCAATTATATGCAATAATTATTTTATGTAACTTTTAAAAATTGCCTATTTATTTTCAAATATAATTAAACACAAATGAAGTCTCACTTTTGCATTTAAAAACCGAATAACTGAATGCACTTCTAAATCTGCAGGATTTCTGGTGACTGGTATGGTAAAAAACGAAACAGTATTACCATGCAACCAGTAGAAATGTAAAACCTAACAGCCGAGTAGTGGGACTTGCCAAGAGTTGTCAAACTTGAACTAACGCCACTCGACACTAGTGCAATCTTCTGGGACCCTGAACCAGCCTTGGGAATTTCACCCACCACATCAAGGCATCTATATTCAAGCTCTATGGCAAAATTGCCCATGAGCAATGGTGCAACTTGGATGGTCAGAGACAAGCTAAAGAGCTGAATCATGACTGTCCTAGTACATCTGTACATCAAAAAGAGCTTCTTAAGCTAAATAGGAACAGTTTGAGGAAGGTCATTGGCTCTCTCACTGGACACTGCACCCTCAGGAGACACCTATACATAATGGGCATTGAATCTAATCCTCTTTGCAGAGGTTGCCATCTTGAAGAGGAGACTTCACGACACATACTTTGTGAGTGTGAGATCTACATTGCTCAAAGATTTGAGCATTTAGGGCAACATTGCATTAAGGCCCAGGAACTGCAAGACGGTTCGGTCAGGCGTTTGCTGAACTTCACTTCAGCCACAAGGCTTTCTTGTTAATCATGATTTAGAGTTTGGGTACAATAGACCTCAGGTTGATGTGCCCTGCTCTTTGGAGCTGCCCAACCTCTAAGTCTAACGCCACTTGATAGGATGTGCGGATAAGATGTGAAATCCATTCTTACTTTAAAAATGACATTCGTATTACCAGAATAAGAACACAAATTCTGATTAATGGATTATATTCAAGAGGCTTAATTTAGAACAAAATTCTAAATTACCTGATGGTTGCCATGAAGTAGAGCAGCTTCACCAAGCTTATCCCAGCATGCTTTATCATCCAGGATCCTAGCAGCATCAAGAGCAACCTATAAAGAAAAAATACTAAGTTACTTTTACTGAACATGCCTGCTTCGAAAAATCTCATAATTTTTAGATGTCCTGCCAGGCATGTTAGTCTAGAAAATACAAGGCAAACAAAACTTATTTGGTCAAATAGAGTTTTCGATGAAAATTTATAAATTAACTCTTATTATTAATCCATCAAAAAAAATTATATAAAGTCAGCCCCATCTTTTATTTAAAGTGTTAGGTAAGCTTAATACTTCTTATTTATATTTTTATTTAAAGTATAAACAAGTATTAAATGATTATTAGTTAGTAACAAAGTGTAAGGTATTATTACCAAGAAAACAATAAAGCACTGATGGAATAAGTTCATATAATTATTATTAACAAAAAATGTTATAATCAGAATTACGTATTATCCGAAATACATGCCCTTTAACATTTTATTTTAAAATGATGTTCCTCTTGAATTTCTCAATTGCAATTCCTAGTTTTATATTAACTATTGTCTTATAAACAGAGACTAAAATAAAAAAAAAATTAATAAAAATAAATGTCAAATGAGAAAGAATAAGCAAACTTTGTTTCATAAGTTCTTAAATTATATTCAATTATAGCAAATATAATTTAATCTTAGCAAACATAATTGATTTTCCCTCTAATGCAGTTTATTTGCTTTTCACAGCTGTCAACACGGATGATAGAAATTCAGTAGATTTTACAAAATAATATAAATTTCCTGACAATTTTTGCATAATGTACTAAATATTCTACACATAGGAAATTTTAGGGACATTTTATAGCCATCAAAATAGAAAAATTGCAATATTTTCCAGTTATGATTGACATGAAATATACTTGAAATGCATGTTTACTCATAATCTTTAATGTCATTATGTTAACTCATAATTTTGAATAGTAAGAGACATTTAATTCATCAAAGATAGTTAAAAGATTTTTTAATTAATTTAAAAACAGAGTTCTGAATAAAAAATAAACTGAATATCTTTGAACAAAAAAAGTTTTTAACTGATTTCTACAAGAGAGACTCACTTTATTATGTAGTAATACTTATCATGGGGTGATTGTGAGTCCAACATAAAAATTCTGAAAATTTCCTTAGTAATATCAATAATGACGCATTTAAAAAAACTTCTTTATAAATTTAAATTATTGATATTTTCAAAACATGAAAATCTAAATAAATTATATGCAGCATAATTTAGATGAATAATTATGTATAAGTTTACTTTTATGTCTAATCACATTTATTATTCTACTAGAAAAAATATTTACAAATGAAAGAGATGCCAAGTGTAAATTTTAGTTCTAATATTTCTAAATAAAATATACAAGAATTTTTATACATAAATGTGATGGATGATTTCTTGAAACTACCAGATTGCGGTTGGCGAAAAATCCGGATAGCCAGATATTTTCCGGAGCACGATCATATCTGACTTATTTAAATATTCGAAGAATAATCTTTGCAAAAATTCTATTTCAATAGGGATTTTCTTTAGGAAACTTACTCAATTTTAATGAATTTTTTAAAATGTATAAAAACCAAGAGATTTTTTATTGAACCAGTAGATCAGAAGAAACTGACAAAACTGGAAAATCCAGTATATATGGTTATTAATGGCCAAATTTTGAGGGACAATTCATTTGTAATTTATGCAATTTCTGATTAAATATTTAAATGCTCCATTGGGCATGTAAGGGTACATATACACACAAAATCTTTACAAGCAATATAATTTTAATATGGTATAACATTCCAGAGAATAAAGCATACCTGTTAACATTGGAGAAATAAAATAATGGAGATTTTACAGGCGACTTTTTTGGGCTACCAGTAAACTTTTGATACATCATGCATAATCATGTAAGTCAAAAAAAGAAATTAAGAATTGGAAATAAAAGCAATTACATTTAGCGAAGTAAAAAATATGTTTGTCTTATAAATCTTAATCTAAAGAAGATTTTTTTAAACCATTATTCAAAATTACTTAAACTATTAACACTCAACATACTGCATTACTAGCAATAGCACCTTCTGTTGGGGAATAAGAGATGTATTTTTGCCATTAGCAAATATTTTATTGCTAAAAAGTTTTTTAAAAATTTTTTCAACAAATACGGAGAAATTTAAGAATTTAAGGGTAGGCAGGAGATAGTCGTAAAATACAGGAGCCTTTGTTAAAAAATAGGTGACTTGGCAGGCATGATATAGTATTAACATAGAGTTAAAACAAAGTATTAACATACTCTTAACCATGAATTCAAAATGAAATTCCTAAAGGGAAAAAAAAGGTATGTAAGGCTGTGTACGAAATATAAAATTGCTTCTTACCATAATATTACCACACTCTAATGCAAGAGCAAATCTAGTTTTTTCATCTTTTACAAAATGCAAGGCAACTTCTGGATAGCCTTTCTTTTGAAGATATGCAATGATGGACTGTCCAACTAATTTGGCATTCCTTACCATATGTAAAACCTAAGAATTTTTAAAATTACATTTCAACTTTTACACTGAATAAAATTATTAAATTCTAATAAAATTAAAATACAAAACAATAATTTTTTGTAAAACGAATGCTAGTGTGATTAATACAGTTAAACCTGTTTATCTCAAACCTCTTTATCTCAAAAAACCTCTATATCTCAAAAAACCTCTATATCTCAACACCTTACATTTACTATTTAAAATCAATGTATTTTCCAAGTCTATTTTGAAATTTTTTCTTTCAAAACCTCTATTTCTGGAATTTTGAGATCCCCAAACATAACAAACAAAGAAGGTTAGACCTCAAAAATCTTTTAAAAAACTATTTTCAGTGTTAAAGGCATGTTAAAAAAAGTTTATGTAAACAGATATATGTGGTATAATTAATTTACAGAAATGCCTGTATTTTTCTACTTATTGCAATTTAAGCACTTTTAATGGAATACCTATATCATCTCAAATTTTTCGTCTTTCCCATGAGATTCGAGATAAACAGGTCTGACTGTATTAAATGAAGTTTATATTCTCGTCATGCTGAAATATGCATAACATATTTCAATCATTTAAAACATTATTTAATCCTTTTTCAATAAATAAAAATATAATATGAAATATTTTTATACCACAATCTTGCAATTGAATACCAAATAAAATCTTTTTTTAGAGACACCCTCTACACATTAGCATAGAATTCGAAAACCGTTATATGGTTTCTAATGTTTTAATTTCATTAAAATTCGCTATTAATTTGCTTAAGTTTATGCATAATTTAATGTAATCACTTGATGTCAATTCCATTCTCCAAGAGAGTTAATGAAGAAAGTAGGTAAACTATAGATTGCATAACTATATTACAATACACTTAAATATGCCTATGGATTGATATCTCATCCTAGTAAAGATTTAATAATTTTAAAAAATTTCAATGTTTAATAACCATTTAATAGTTCAGTCCTGGTTTTGGTAAAAATTTACATTTTTGGGCAAAGAGTAATCTAATCAAAAGTTACTATAATAATAGTTAAACTTAAAAAATAAAAACTTTAATAAATCACTTAAATAAAAGTAAAAAGGGGTTTGTCTTAATTGAATTCTCGATTTAAAAGTATAAGTTTAAAAGAAATAGTATTAAATTAAATTAATTAAACTCAATAATAAAAGATATCAATCCAAAACTTTCATAAATCCATTATATAAAAGTAAAATGAAGTTTGCCTCAATTCAATTTTCAGTATAATAGCATAGGTTTAAAAAAAAAACAGTATTAAATTAAATTATTAAAACTAAATAATAAAAGATTCAAAATTTTAATAAATCAACTAAATAGAAGTAAAATGAGGTTTGTCTTAATTGAATTTTTGATTTAAAAGCATTGGTTGAAAAGAAACAGTATTAAATGAAATTATTTGAACTAAATAAAAGATTCAAAACTGTAATAAATCAATTAAATAAAAGTAAAAGAAGGCTTGACGCCCGGTGGCTGAGCGGTAGCGCTGTCGTGCCACAGGTCCCTGGTTCGATCCTCGGGCCGGGCAAGGTTGACTCAGCCTTTCATCCCTTCAGTGGGTCGATGAATGAGTACCAAGCATGCTTGGGAACTAAACACTGGGGGTTCCGCGTTCGGCTGACCACCTAACCGGAACATCTGCTTCTGCATCCCAGAGCCCAAGGTCAAGAAAACTGAGATGGGCACAGTAGGCCTTGGCCCTCTATGGGCTGTCGCGCCGCTGAGTTTAGTTTAGTTAAAAGAAGGCTTGGTTTAGTTCAATTTTTGATCTAAAAGCATTGGTTTAAAAGAAACAGTATTAAATTAAATTATTTAAACTAAATAATAAAAGATTCAAAACTTTAATAAATCAATCAAATAAAAGTAAAAAGAGGTTTGTCTCAATTCAATTTTTGATCTAAAAGCATTGGTTTAATAGAAACAGTATCAAATGAAATTATTTGAGTTAAATAATAAAGGATTCAAAACTTTTATTAAATCAATTCAATAAAAATAAAAAGTAGATTGCCTTCATTTAATTTTTGATCTAAAAGCATTGGTTTAATAGAAACAGTATCAACTGAAATTATTTGAACTAAATAAAAGATTCAAAACTTAAATAAATCAATTCAATAAAAGTAAAAAGTAGATTTCCTCAATTTAATTTTTGATTTAAAAGCATTGGTTTAATAGAAACAGTATCAACTGAAATTATTTCAAAATAATAAGAGATTCAAAATTTTTATTAAATCAACTCAATAAAAAGTTTAAAAAAAGGCTTGGTTTTATTCAATTTTTGATCTAAAAGCATTGGTTTAAGAAAAAATCAAAATAAAAAGTAATATTTTTAAAAACCACGTTTTTGTAGTGGAGAATAATAATTAAAAAACAAAAATTTGAAAAACGAAAAACGTGGGGCGCATGAAATACATAACAGTAACAGTACGTGTGCTCATGAGAATATGTATATGTATATCTGTAATTGTATCTGAATGTGTGCGTGGAATATGTTTGTGCATATGCATGTGTATGTATATGTGGCTGTGCATGTGTATGAGTAAGAAAATATGTATATGTATGTGTATATGTACTGTTATGTATTTCATTGTCACAACGTTTTCTGTTTTTCAAATTTTTGTTTTTTAATTAAAATTCTCCACTACAAAAACGTGGTTTATAAAAATATTACTTTTTATTTTAATTTTTTTCCCGTATTCACTTTTTCACTCACTGTGCACAAAACTTTTCAACTGACATGTGACACTAATTAGAAATAATCGAATCTTCAACAAAAGACAATCGCGAAAATATTAATTTTTCTTTAATTTCAATTTTATTTTACTTTGTATGTCTTCTTCATTTTCGTGCGTTGTCATCCGATTCTGAACTATGTACAAAATTTGAAGCCTGTAGCTAGTCGGGAAGTAAGTTTAAAATAGATTACAAAATTCCACCCGAACAGACATTCACGAAGGCAAGTTGATATAAACAGGGTAAAAAGAAACAGTATCAAATGAAATTATTTGAACTAAGTAATAAAAGATTCAAAACTTTAATAAATCAATTAAATAAAAATAAAAGGAGGCTTGCCTCTTCATATTTTCGATTCACAAGTGCAAGTTTGAATTTGTATTCTGTGGGATCAATAGTCAAAACTCTGGGTCTGCATTCTCTATCCAAACAATACACATTAGAATCTTTCACTTTAGTTATGTAGATTGGTACATCCAACGTTCGAATGATGCCGTGGTCACTGAAAACGAAAGAGAAAACATTATAAATATAAAATCACTTGAATTTTAAAAAAATTTTAACAAAATGTAACTTACCCATTTGTTAGTGCATATTTAATGTGATTGGATGTTGTGTAAATAAAAACATTGTTATCATCCCATGAACCACTTTTTAATCTGCAGTTCTCCTGAATGGTACACAAAACATCGAGACGACGGTTGCACATGGTAAGGGTATGCTTGCTGAAGAAAGCAACATGGCTCATATCACTGCTCCAGTGCACATATTTCACTCGAGCAGACTTTACGTTGGCAAGCAATCTATGAGGAAGAAATTAAATACTCATAATCAAGTTTAAAATTCAGAGCAGAATCAATAGAGAAGTAATCAGTAAAGTTTTCAAATTCAGTAAAGTTTTCTAATTAAGAAAACTTAATATTAATTTTAAACTTAACATTTTCATATAATCTATGGGAAAGAAATTAAATACTCATAATCAAAATCAACATTCAGAACAGAATCAATAGAGAAGTAATCAGTAAAGTTTTCAAATTCAATAAAGTTTTCAAATTAAGAAAACTTAACATTAATTTTAAACTTAACATTTTCATATAATCTATGGGAAAGAAATTAAATACTCATAATCAAGTTTAAAATTCAGAACAGAATCAATAGAAAAGTAATCAGTAAACTTTTCAAATTCAGTAAAAATTTCAAATTAAGAAAACTTAATATTAATTTTAAACTTAACATTTTCATATAATCTATGAGAAAGAAATTAAATACTCATAATCAAAATTAATATTCAGAGCAGAATCAACAGAGAAGTAATCAGTAAACTTTTCAAATTCAGAAAACTTAACATTAAATTTGACGCCCAGTGGCTGAGTGGTAACGCTCCGCGCTCCCCGTGCCACAGGTCCTGATTTCGATCCTCGGGCCGGGCAAGGTAGACTCAGTCTTTCATCCCTTCAGTGGGTCGATAAATGAGTACCAAGCATGCTTGGGAACTAAACACTGGGGGTTCCGCGTTCGGCTGACCACCTGACCAGAACATCTGCTCCTGCACCCCAGAGCCCAAAGTGAAGAAAACTGAGATGGGCACAGTAGGTCTTGGCCCTCAATGGGCTGTCCCGCCACTAAGTTTAGTTTTTTAACATTAATTTTAGACTTAAAATGTTCATATAATCTATGGGAAAGAAATTAAATACTCATTATCAAGTTTAAAATTCAGAGCAGAATCAATAGAGAAGTTATCAGTAAAGTTTTCAAATTCAGAAAACTTAACACTAAATTTAGACTTAGCATTTTCAAACAATCTATGAGAAAGAAATTAAATACTCCTGATAAAGATTAACATTCAGAGCAGAATCAATAGAGTAAAAGTTTTCAAATTCAGAGAACTTAACATTAATTTTAGACTTAACATTTTCATATAACATTCATGTGAAAGAATAGAATAAATGAAACATTCATATTCAAATGTAACATTTAAAGTAGAATTTTGTAAGAAGTGAAAAAAAATTTTATATTGAGCAAGCAATCTAAGAGAGAGAAAGAGAAAATAAATTTAGATATTCATAACCAATTTAATATTCAGAGTAGAATCGATGAAGTAACTGGTAAGGTTTTCAAATTAAGCAAACTAAACATTAAGCAGGGACAATTGTGACACAAAGTAAAAAAACCTGAAAATTTTTTGCGCAAAAACCCTCTATCAATTTACATACTATTCATATTTGATCGAGGATGAAAAAAGCACCTTTAAGGGCTTTTAAAAAACGTAAATCAAAAATAAGCGTCTTTAAGCACTTTTTAAAAAGCTATGCACTCTGTATTAGTTTTTAGATAATTCGAATTTTTGGCAATTGGAATTGACTTCAGCCTTAATTATTTCTCTGTTTTAACTGGTTCTTTTCATAGATTCAATATGGAATTAAATAGTACTATTATACAACATAATTTTTAATACTTAACACTAAACGTACGAACACTTAATCTATACCTATTTCTACCAAAGCCTGTCAAATGACCAGGCTTAATGTTTCTTGATTGAATGTATGAAATATGGATGTTAGGAAGAAAATAAACTAAAAAAAACTTCATTATAATTAAACAAAATTGTATCTTGCCAATTTTTATGTATTACAAACACAAAGAATAAGAATTTTTTATTCATTGCTCACATTTTTTATATAGGGTGTTTCCATTGTGCATTTTCCGCAAACATATATTTCTTCTAGTTATTATTATTTCTATTACTCTTATAATTATAATATATAAGAATTATAATCCTTATAATTATTCCTATAATTAATATTATTCCTTCTAAGAACCTGTGCTGTCTTGATTGTTTCGACATTTTTCTGGGTAAAAACTAACAGTTAGTTAAAAATGAAGTAAAGCTATCAAAACAAAATATAAGCTACTTACCAAAACATTTAGTTTTTGTCACTTTTTCTTACACGAAAATGTCAATCTAAAATTTTAGGTACTTTCTAGAAATTTGAATTTACAGTTATTCCGTATGAACTAACCGCGCAACAATCTTTGCAACTAACCACGCAACTGTGCAACTAATTTAATGCAATACGCTGAACGCGCATTACATCGCAATTTCTGATACGATAACCTTATAAAGCAATAAATTGTTCTCCTGGTCAAATGACCGGATGTGGTCGAAATAGGTTTATGGCAAGTATTATTCGAAGCAAACAAAATATAAAAAATAATAGATTATTAACTGTATATATTTGTTAGAAAAAGTCATGAAGTTAAATGCACAAAAACAGTAATATGATCAGCGCATTTTCAATGCTAAAGTTCTTAATGGTATGTTTAGCGTTAAAAAAGTGACTAGATAAAAAAAAAAAATTACCTGTTTTGTTGGACATCAAAAAGAGTGAGGCCATCTGAGTCTCTGAGAAGTAGCATTCCGGTGCCAGCATAAAATATTTCATCACAATTAGGAGCCTGAACTTTTTTAGTCACTTCATTCTTCATGTTCTTGATAACTAACTGTTTCAAAAAAAGAAAAGATGAAGCATAAAATTTATAGCCAACAAAAACAGGGTGCATAGCCAAATNACTGTTTCAAAAAAAGAAAAGATGAAGCATACCAATTTATAGCCAACAAAAACTTATTATGCAATTAGATGCTCACTGTATGAGTGCGATCCAAAACAGCAAATCTGTTCCTTGCGATCCAAACAGCAGTAAGTCCAGAAGAACGTTTACAATCTGATGCTTCAGTTTGCTGTGAATCAACTTCTTTTGGAATCATGTATAAATCATAAGTACTGTTATCCACATTGTTGGTACGGGTGCAAATAAGAACAGCATTTTCAACATGATTATAAGACAAGCTAGAAAAGGAAGAGAAATAGTTGTCAGTTCATTTAAATTATTCATAATTTCAAACACAGTTTGAAATGCTTTGAGAAAAACATTAGAATATATTATTAAAACCTTACATATGCATAATATGGTACCTATACTCAAAGAGATGAAATCATCAATAAAATAAAACATTTTATTGATGATTTCATTTTCATCGCAATAAAAAATGACACAAATTTTTTATATAAAAAAGAAAATTTTATTCATTATGTTCAGGGTATCTGCTGCATTTTAGATTTTCAAATCCGTGACTTTTCATAACTTACCATAAATAATTCCAAGAATTTTTCAACTTACCGAAATTACTATTTTCTCCAACAAAAACACAACAAATTTAAAAAAGCATTATAATGATAGGTACTGAAATGATAGGTATAACCAAAATTGTTATACTTTTCATCTTCATATTGAATTTTAAACTTAAAAAAAAAAAAAAAAGATTGAAGAAAGAGTTGAAGCAATAAAACATCTAAAAAAATACAAAAGCATATAAGTAAATATACAGTCAGATATATGTAGTTATTTAAACCTGTTTTATTTCTTCTTANATGAATTAAAACAATTTTTAAATTACTAAAAAACGAATGAAAGAGCATACTTATGCATGTTTGCTCAATTGATAAAAAAATTCTGAAATCATAGAAGTTTAGAAGATAATTCACTCCAGAAATGATGTTCGTTCTTTCATTTTTTGAAAGAACGCCATAATTTTTAAAGGACAGGAAAAAACATTTTATATTTTAAAAAAATATGACTATGAGTGGAGACTGTTACAAATTTAGATATTCGGAACACTGCAAAATTGGGGGGGGGGGTAAATTCCATTTTAAAAATTAGATCTTTAGGCAACCTAAATCCATGACTTTCCATGTGACTTTTTTTTTAAAAAAATCTTCTTTAAAATCATGACATTTCATGGAAAATTTTGTTCAATACCGAAATCCATTACCTTCCAGGTGCGCAGATATCCTGTATGTTTTTATAAAATGAAACCAATCTTGTCATGTAAGCAATAGAAATTAAACAACTAATCAATAGAAATATTACATTTTTTCCCTATTCCATGAATTAAAACAATTTTTAAATTACTAAAAAACGAATGAAAGAGCATACTTATGCATGTTTGCTTTACAACTCTTGATATATTATCCTGAACATTTCTTAATAGTACTTAAGAACAAAACTAGATATTTTGTAAAAAAGATCTTTTCTAACTAGCAGCTGCGTTTTTTCTTTACTGGCTGCCTTAAAGCAGGGCTCGAAAAAGCTCAGAAATTTTACCCGTCCCCAAGGACGGCTTGTCCAACAATGTACCCGTCCTCCTTTGAAACTAACCCGTAGCTTCTAAATAAATAAAAATATAATTTTCTCTCATTTATTACAAACATTTATATAAATTACACAATGAATTAGTAGTTACTAAGATTACATTATACAGTAATAAAAGAAACACGAGGCTTTTAGAAACGTAGTATTTCTTTTATGAAAAAATTTATTTCTTTTATGAAATAATTTAAAAGACAAAGGTCAAGTTATCTGGAATGGCAATTTATCCGAGGGTACTGCGTTTTTTTAAATGAGTCAAATATGACGTTTGCCAGTTCCACAATCAAGCCAATGATTTGCAGAGGCTTCTGCATAGAAATCTGAAAGGGGTTTTCCATTTAGGTAGATGTTCATAATTGCGTTTACCGCTTCTTGTTTAAGACCAGTACGTAATGCATTTTTTTGTAAGTTCATTGCTGAAGTTCATTGCTAAGTTCAACAGCTGCAGTTCTCCCAGACGGAGAAAACATCAATTCAATTTCAGGGTCAATTTAGAAATAAGGCGCTAGACTCTTGTAAGATAACAAAAATTGAAAATGTATCACGAACATTAACGGGAAAATGGCCGTCCGCGCGGACGTCGGATTAGAGAAATTTGTTGACCGCGGGGAATTTTTGACAGCCGAGGACGGGCGGCTTTTCGAGCCCTGCCTTAAAGGGTACCTTTATTTTTGCATTTTTTATTTATTCGGTTTTTCTTTTTGCACTCTATTGTTTGATGAATGATAACAAATTTCCAATCTGGAATCTGAAATTTATCTAAATTTTAAATACTATAAAGAAAAATAACTTTGCTGCATACAAAAAAAGTTATTTTGAATGGATGTTGATTGAAAAATATCAATACTGCCAATTACTAATTGTTAGTTATTTCATCTATTATTTGACCACTGAATTTAATGCAAATTATATTTTGATGTAAGAATTCCTGGGATAAACTTTTTAACAGCAATGAAGTCAAACAATTTAAAGTAATCTTTAAAGTACTTTACTTCAAATTAAACACAAAGTCCTAGCCAAATCATTACAATTGAAAATGCGGGGTGAATATATAGCGAATAATAAAATCAAATCATTTGTAATTTAATTGGAATGCTTGGATCAGTTCAATATTTAAATTTAATGTTTTAATAATAATTATATGTTAATTTAATGTTAATTATATGTTTTAAGTTCGATACTTTATATAAAATTAAACATGCTCTTTACAATTAGATATGAAATTTTTCCTTTACTAAACACTTGTGAACAAAAAACACATTGATTTTTGAGAAAAACTTATACGTTTTAGAATTAAGTAATCTTAGCTTCAAATCATGTTAAAATAGTTTCTTTAAACGATTCTAACTTAAATTTTTATTACCTAAAGACTGGGCTTCGATTTCCACCTCTGAGTTGAAGAAGACAGACGTCTTTGGAGAGGCCGAAATCCAAACGCCTCAAATAGCGATCTTTTACGTAGTAGAGCAAGTTGTTGTGAACAGCAAATGATGGCCGTTCTCGTTCCAGCTTGAAGATTATCATTCCGCCATCGTGACCAGCAGCAAATAAGTTGAGACTGGGGTGGGCAGTCATTATCCAAAATCTGTCATGNTTTTCCGATAAATTGATTCTGATTTTCGAATTCTGTTTTCCTTCTTAAGTAATCAGTTTTGCATTTTCTAATTTTAAACGTTTTAAAGTATTGTATTTTCTGCAAAGAGATTACAAGGTTAACCGACAAAAAGAATTTAGTGTTATATAAACAATGATGTTTATATAACAATCACCACCAACAATTGCTTTCAATATGTCGGTCTAAACACTTTGGCATGCGGCCCTTCATTGGTCAATCTGCTGTGCATGTGGCCCTTCACTGAAAAAGGTTGTGCACCCCTAATTTAAATTAAGCAATATAATTTTAAAGTTCAGTGTTGTCTTAATTATACTTATTACTTAATGCATGCTAATTTTTTAATCATACTAGTCAGCTCTTAAATGCGTAAAAAATGAAAGTTTTGATAATAATTTTCTTTACAACTGTAGTTAGCAAGTTATGTAAAATGGATAAATGCAGAACTTTACTGTAAAAATTTATTTCTTTCAACTATATAATATGACAACCATCTTAAACAGTTAACAAGTTTCTTTAAAAAAAAAAAAAAATTTTAAAAACCGTGAAATGAAAACATACTTAGTATTTTTTTCAGCTTAAAATGAGGTAATGTCACAAATTATAAAAGCTGTGGTAGATAAATTAATAAAACAATTTTCTGTTAACTCAATATATTGAAGGACAAAAACTATGCATATAGCAAATAAACTTAATAAATTCAGTTAATATAATTTAACATTAGTTTAATAAATGAAGAACAGGAGTTAGTCCATTTTCACAAAAATAACAATTAGACTTGCATTTTGAGGACTACAAATGAATAATGTGGAAAATCAGTTCTCTCCAAGAGTTATTACACAGGGAAAATAGACAATGCTAAAGAAAAACTTTTTCCTGTATACAAGAAGAACTAAGAAAAACATAGTGAATAAGAAATAGTAATGAAGAAGTATTGATGGGGAAGAGATTTTGAGGAGATCTTGTTTAATCAGACTTTCAAATTTAATTTTTTGTAAAAAAATCAAAAATTTTGCCCTGAAATTTTCAGGGGATATAAATTAATATTTACGACAAATGTCTATATTTTTAAGATTTCAATTGGATGCTTGCTACTGAGAATTTTTGAATCAGGAAATTAAATTTTCTCAGAATGAGCGTTCATGGAAAGAAAGAAATATAAATAAGAAATAAATATAAATTATACTTAAACTATCAAATTATGTAGAATTTTTTCCTCATCATAATTTCAATCCTGTTAAGAAAATGCAAATTTTCTTAAAAAGAAAGCTTATCAATATAAAATAGAAATATTAATAGCAGTAATACCTAGGGTGAAATAAAACACAAGAAACATTATTGTAATGTCCTCGGCATGTATCGACTTCCCAAGCTTTTGAATCATTCATTCTCCATAGTTTCACTTGGCGGTCATCTGCTCCCGATACAATCAAAGGCATGGTACTGTGAAAAGCTGCCCAATTAACACCTCGATCATGACCTACATTAAGGAAAAAAATAATAACTTTAAAAAAAAAAATAGATCAATTTATTTCCAACCCAAAAAATATTATAACAGGGTAATTCTATAAACGACTTAATTGTTAATATCATACTAGAACTACACTAAAAGGCTATTGGCTAATTACTTGTAAAACTCCCAATCAAATAATTAACAATGGGCAAGCTACCTGACTTGGGAGTTTATGCAGCTTGCTCTACAATCTTTTATCAGAGAAAGGGAAATTGTTCTTTCTTGTTATAAAAAAAGATTGTGTTGAATAAAAACGTTTTGAAAACAAATTTCTCATTTTAATACAAAATATTTGCTATAATGAACTAACTGTATTTTTTTATTAAATCTGATTCATCTAAATCAAAACTCATATAAAATACAGATGATAATTAATGTCAATTTTTTACAATGTTTTCTTATAGGTTGAATGATAAAATAGGATTTTAAAAAAAAATAAAAGTTATAAGATAGATGTTAATTTGAATTTTTTCTGCCACTAATTAAGAATTCTTTTTTTTTTCCTTTTTATCCCCTCATGTTGTAAAGCATTAGCAGTACAGATAATCAAATAAAAATAACAATAAAAACCGAGCCTCTAATTCCAAAAGTAAATTAATAGGATTTAATTTTAAGAAAATTTAAAATAAGGAAAAGAATTGAGTAAATTTTTTAATAAAAATATCTATAATTTAAAGAGAAATAAAACTTCGATGCTGGTGTTTTTCTCTTTTTCAAACACTTTTGATATTCAAGTTCATTAATGTTCTAGTTTATTCTCCTCAATTTTTTTTAACTGCTCTGCCTTTTCAATAACTCTTACTAGTACTGGGCGATAAATCGATACATCAAGAATTATCGATTCAATGTATACATCGCTATGCCTGTATAGTGACTTTTGTTTCTTGCGAGCATCAGAAATCTGATATAAGAAGAGGCTCGCAGTTTAACGATTTGACATGCTAGGATCTTGGCTTACTCTAACGCACTTACCACGCTGACAAAGGCAATTTTTATTTCCTAAAGCTTAGAAGGTATTGACGTCTAAAGACATTGATGTTCGTCTTGCTACGAAAACAATGTTCATTTCAGTATGTTGAATGGCAATGAGTGAATTGAATCAGAAGTCACAGTTTTGTGAAAGGAGCAGCGTCGAAATGTAGAATGCAATGCATAGTTTCTTTATGCATCCTTTTTTACCCAAGGAATTTTTTGTTCCTCGAAGATTATTTTCAGGCGGACTTACGTTATTTTGCGGCCGCAGTGCATTTTATTTCATCAGGACTTAATGCTTCTTGTAAATTAGTTTCAGTGGAACTTCAGCTACTTAGGGATTGTTGTGCATTATTTCATCACTTTTATTTTGTCTGTTGGGATTTAACGTATCTGGACAATTAATTTTAGAAGGCCAACTGTTACTTTGAAATCACTGTTATTTTGAATTATTTTTCTCCCAAAATAACTTCTGATAAATGACCTTCCAATGTATACCTAATTAAAAATAAAAATTTTGCTAGAAAAAATGCAATTTAAAGCAGATATATAACATACGTAAATGACATCAAATTACAATTTACATAAATTCACCATCAAAAATAATATTACACATAGATATTGACACATTACCTTCCAAAACATGCTTCACAACAGCATCGGACGTTCCAAACAAATCAGTATGTGAGGGATTTTTGAGATGCTCTTCCAGCCCCCCAGGTCCTGGGGCAACATTCTTCTTTCTTAAACCAGATATATCCCAAACTCGCACAGTTTGATCCAAAGATGCCGATACAACCAAATCTTCTGTTGGGTGAAATTGTGCAGACATAACATAATGATTGTGGCCAGTAAGAACACAAATACATGTACGTGACTGCCAATTCCACACTCTAATGGTTTGATCATCTGACGCACTTAAAATCCAGGGATACTCATGATGAAAATAGGTTGTGCGAATGTAATCGAGATGACCCATCAAAGTAAAAATGCATCTTCTTTGTTTATAATTCCACACCTAAAAATTATTAGTTTTAAAATATAAATGCATAATAATAAAAATAAAAACTATAAAATTCAATAGCAATAAATGTGGTAAATATCATTTATTTTTAATAAACAAATAAACAATTTTTTTTACATAAATTTAAAAAAGTTTATTATTTAAAAGTTTATAATTATAAACGTTTATTAAAAGTTTATTTAAAAAAGTTTATTATATTTAATATTGCATTATTTATCCTTCAGCAAAAACATAATTTACCAGTATTAAAAGCATAGTTATTCATATTTAAAGGATAAGGTATTCACTAGTGATGTACCGAACAGTGATGGGGCCGAATACCGAATATTCAGCCAAATTTTAGGCTGAATACTTTTTAAAAATTTCTCTTTTGATTGTAATTTTGTAATTAAAGTAATTTTCAAATTTTAAATTAAAAATTAAATAAATATTAACAAAATTGCTTTTTTAATCTTTGTACATTTAAAAAAATTTTAACAACTTGATTTATTTTTTGTAATAATTTAAATATCTTGATGCCAATAACAAGGCCATATGGCTTTTATAAATCTAAATAATTAATAATAGCATATTTTAGTTATAGTTATACTTGTAATTTATATGCTATTTCATCTAAAATTTGAACTCATAAAAATGCCTTAAAACACAAAAAATATGGTACTTATTATTTACAGAAAAAAAAACATCTAAAATGTCAGGTGCATTAGAAATAAAATCCAACAAATTTATCAATTTTTTATTTGCTTTAAAGATAGTAAAGTTAGTACGGTTTATGGAGAATTAAGGTTTATAGAATTGCATTTCATAAATGCTTCTTCTATAAATGCTTTAAATCATGGATATGAATCAATTTTACACGTTCATTTGTCCTTATTTCTTAATATAAATACTTATACAATAGTTACAGAAACATGGTATGATCTGCAAAGGAATTTTGGATATTGCACTCCACTATACAAATAAACATTATCTTTACTAAGTGAAATATGCCCACTTATGGCGGATATTTCCGTATCGTGATCTCCCCCGCCAACTACAATCGCCAAGGTGCCAAAAAGATTTTAAACTTGCAAATTTAAAAAAAAAAAAAAACATGTAGATGCTTGCCCGGGGTGTGGCTACGAGTTATACCTTTCAAGTTTGTCGTCCCGCTCTGTGGTGTTTTTTTGTTTTTGTTTGTTTGTTTCTCGCGGGCCATTGCCCAGAAGTTTTCAAGACTAGGCAATTATTCTGCCACAGATCACGATACGGAAATCTCCCCTACTTATGAAATAGAATAAGATTCATAATTCATATAGAGATTAAGTAACTTTAAGAAACTTTTTTATGATTGCTTATGGGGGTAAATGATGATTTATGATGTGGTCAGATTTATGATTACTTACGGGTTTTTTTTATGATTGCTTATGGGAAAAAATAATGGCTTATAGGTTTTTTTTATTGCTTATGGGTGTAAATGATGGTTTTATGATGTGGTAAAGTTTATGATTCCTAAAGTGGGAAGGTTGCTGAGTAAAAAAGTAGTTTTCTTCAAGACCAGATAAAGTTAGAATTCACAATTTCTTAACAAAAATAACAATTTTTCAAGAATACTATTGTAAACATTGATGATTCAAACACAATAATAATTATTATGTCTTCAATAATTATTATTATGTACTGTATTATGTAAAATATCTGCTACATTTTTAATTGGAGAAAAAGGACCAAATATATTAGAGCTGGCAGGATTAATTTAAAAGTTAAGTAATAAATAAAAGAATTTTGCGAAGTGCTAGCAAAAATGTCGCTAATTTAAAAATAAAGTAGGAAACATAGTTCAAGCATTGAAAGTTTCTATTTAATAATATAAGGCATAAAATATATTTATTCATATTCAATCTCTTTAATATATTATATATATTAAAGAGATTGAAATATGAAACCTGCGGGGTTTTGATAATTGACTATATGTCAACCTTCATCTATCAAAAGGTACCTCGTGATAAAATCAAGTTAACATGTCTTATATACTAGTGAATCGGTATTTAATATTTATAGTGGTAGTTACGCCACATTACTCCCCTTCCAGAATTTTATCTGTGATAGAATTCGATGAGCAGATTCCACTAGTTGATTCATGCTGTTTACGTATTTATATCAATTTTTGCTCATTATATTTTCTTCATTTTTTATTTTTAATTTATAGCATTTTGCTCATTTTTGGTTTATTTATTGTTTAAACTTTATTTACTTGACCAGATTTTTTTTTCTTTTGAACAATATATTTTAAAGCAAATCAACTGTTTAACATGAACCATCCATCAATGTTGGCAAGTTCATATCACATCCAGAGGTCACCAATGAGGGGAATTATTTATGGTCTATGTCAACCTTCACCTATTAAAAGGTACCTCGTGATTGCATCAAGTTAATGTTACCTTATATACTAGTAAATTGGTATTTTATATTTATAGTGATAGTTACACCACAAACCTATATCATAGAGCTATACATTTTTTTTAAAAAAATCCCCATTTACCTTTAAAGTCAAAATCTCAACTAAAAAGAAAATTCCTTAACATTCTTTGTTAGATTTGGTATTCATGACAAATAGGCAAAATAAAGCCCTGCTACTAATAAGATGTAGTTAGTTGCAAATTGAATAAAATAGGACCCTACAAAATATGGTACTACTTCGTTTCAAGGATAGAGACGTAAAAAAATCTATTACAATACATATACCAGTGTAATTATTACAATAACACCTATTACCACAGTCAATTAAGTACTAGAAACAATACTTTTGAGCGACTATTACGGTGCCCTGAAACGGAGTAGTACCTGAAAAAATATTATAGTATTTAAATCATTGCTACTTTTATTTTGTAGTCATCTCCACCAGAAACGAAGAGGGGCTGCTGGTTGTGGAAACAAATCCCTCTAACCGGCCCATCATGTTCATCAAATTTGTCCAACAAAGTGCACATACGATAATCCCATAGTTGAATGATTCCATTGTGTAAACTGGTTAAAATCCATGGTCTCTTAGGGTGAAAACTTAGCCCTTTAACTCGAGCAGATTTAGTTTCGAATTTTGTTAACATTTTACTTATGGCGACACGTCAGACCAAACAGAACAGAAACATCAACAATCCAACCCATCAATGAAATGTGACGTGTATTCACTTCTTTTCAGTTAGTGTTAAACAGCTCAAATACGTTTTTCAGAAACTTGAACTTAGTTTATAGCTTTCATAGTATTGGTGATCGAAATGGGATACGGGTGACGTAAGGTAGAACTCTTTACCTATGGCAACACTTCACATTAACGTGTGGAGAGTCATAGAAGAAGGTATATGTCAGATTTTGTCTTGATTTTCAAATGGATTAGAAACTTTCAAGTAAGGACACTATATGAAAATGAAAACTACATTAAACATAGTTCTAAGAGAAAGCGTCATGGAAATTTTAAAAATATTTTTAACAATTAAATACAAAATATATTAAGAAAAGGAAAAATATCGTTGTACAGACAACTAAAAAGAGTAAGAGAGGGAAGGGCCAAAGGCATTGAACCGGTCTTCTCTTCCAATGGTGTATATTTTTCTTTTATGTATATTTATATATATATATACATATATATAAAGCAGAAAGAAGAAGAAAAAAAGCAGAATGCCACCAGAAAGCTGAAAAAACTAATCCTTGATAAACTATAAGAAAAAACTACTTTTATACTAAGTAATTTTACATTAAATTATATAGTATAAAATAGTGTATCTGGATGCCTCTTTCCCAGACGCTTTTTAACAATCAAAATAAACATCTTTTCTATAAAAGAAAGAAGAAAAAAACCCCTATTTTTTGCAACTTTGAGAGAACCAGATGCCATGTGACACGTGTTCTTTACTTCTTCTAGCTTCTATTGATGTCCAGGCAAAATTTACTACCTTCACAAATTCAACTTTAGGAAAAATGGTAGTTTTACAAAATACCTTTTCTTAAAATTTTATTTTTTTGTCCCGTAAGAAACGATAAATTCATATTTTTGTATTGATTTTTTTGATATAATTTTCACAAATGATGTCTAAATTTTCTTGAAATAGATACACCTCGCAGAANTATTATAAAACAATAACAAGTTTCCTAAAACCTGAAAAAAGTTTGAAAACTTTCAAAATATTTTGTTTCCCTCTCATTAGAGGATTCGCTTTCTGAGAAATGAAAGGAGTTCAAAGAAAAGAAAAAGCCAGTTGAACTGTTCTGATAAAGTATTCGGTTTAGAGATTCTTTACTCAATAAAAAAGAATATTTAACTTATTTACTCAAATAAAAATGAGTTTCAAGATAATTTTTAGCATTAATGCATGTAAGAGAATCGAATTAATAATGTACAAAAACCTTTATCGAAGACTTTGCTTGCGATTCCTAGGAAGAGTTTAAACCCTGATATATAACTCTGAAGAGTTAAACCCTGATATCGAAGAATGAAATCGCCCATAGAAAATAAAGAAAAACATCAAAGTCTTCAATACATCTTTCTCAATATCGTTCTGCTCTTTCAAAATAAACGGACGCTCTCTTCTTCAAACTCTGCATCTTTCAAAATAAAGAATTCAATGCGACCTTAATGAAAGATTCAACCGATTACAGTAAATTCAGCGACCTACGTTTTCTGCTTCTATTTCTAGAAAGCTGATAAACTTTAAGTTCAATCAAGGGCAGTAGGGGGTCGGGGGGGGAATTGCACCCCTGTCGGGCATGGCCTGTCTACCCCCCTCCCCCATTGGAAAAATTTAAAGTCCCGTCGGGAAAATAGTCTGGTCTCATTTTTTTTCTAAATAATGTCAAAAATTCCTTCACAAATACCTAATAAAAAAATTTTGTAGTTGACTTTTTATTTATTTATTTTTAAGAATTAGTAGCAAAAATTAGCAAAATATATTGTAAATTCTATGTAATTGTAGTTTCACTGCACAACTTGTAACTTTGCCTATACATTGTTAAACTTGAGACCGGATGCGATTAGCTATGGTTGAAATTGACGACTTTTCGAAGTCCCATAGACGCATCCTCATTTTCTTGTAAACTTATCTTTCAAACTGCTATTCTTTCTTTTGGAGAACTGAGGAGGGGATTATTTTCGCTGGGGGCATAATTGCTTTTTGAAATTTTCAAGCAAAATAAAAGTATAAGAATAAAATAAAAAAATTTCAGTTTTAATTTTTTCATTCTTTTTTTGAGAAAAAAAAAACTTTTAAAGGAGGAAAAACATTTATTTATTTGGATTCAAGGTTTATATTTTAATTAACGCAATAAATATGCAGTCGGAAAAAAAAGACAAATAAACAGTAACAAAATATTTTTAATTTATTTTAATTTCTTAGGCAGATTTAATTCATTATTTTTTTTTATCATTTTCTAAGTAGTAAAAAGATTATTGATTCATTCCGAAAAACAATTAAATTTTTCGTATTTAATATCTTAAAATATATATTAATCAACATAACAGATTCTCATTGACTTATTTTATTTTCAGTGTTTGAAATGGAAAAAGGGAACACTTTGATTAACTTTTGATTCAATTCTATTTTTGCGTACAAAAAGTCAATACCATATTTTCTAAGTTACGAAATTGAACACAAAAGCGCATTTTGTTCTGGATAAACATACAAGTTTTTCTATAGTTTTAGGTTTTTAATTTTCAAATGCGGAAATAGCCGCAATCTGGAAGCTGTGGTTCGAAGTTATGGCAAAGAGACAGATGGAAAATTTGAGTCTTTTAATTTTAACTTCACTCGTTGATTATTGACCGTCGATTATTTCGAGAACTTTTTGAGTGTATTGAAAAATGTTTGCATACAATTATCACAAAAAAATTTTATACACAAATTTTTACGCAAAAATAATTTTGAATAATTATTTGTTATTTTTTATTAGTTTATTAAATAATAGTAGTAATAGTTTATTAAATAATAATATTGAATTGTATGTTCTACATATTTTTACATCCTTTTTAATTTCAAAATACAAACAATCGATCGATTAGTTTCTGAGCTATCAAATTTAAAAAAGATCAGTTTGCTTAAAATTTTATTTATCTCGAATTATTCAACCGATTTCATTCAAATTTTTTGTTTTACAATTTTAAATTACATTCCATAAAATTATATAAAAATTTGTATATCTTGCTATTTTATTTTATTTTATCCGTCGTTGAACAGCCGACCCAATTTTCGAGTTTACGACTACTAATGTTCAACTCCGTTGCCTTGTAATTTTGAACTAATCCAGAAGACAAGGGGAACTCCTGAATCAGTACCCCCATAGGTATTGATTTGTTATGGGAACATGAAGGACTTTGCGACTCGACAGATTTAATGTGCATCAGTCGCCATTTACTACACGGGGATTTCGAAATTCAGGATTCAAAATTTTTCCAACGCATATTATAAATAAAAACGTGAAGAATATTAAATATTTGATAACTATTTGAAACTACATTTTTTGCATGGCATTTACCTTTGGATAAACGAATTTTTTAATTGTATGAAGAAATTTTCGAATCACTCAATACGCAAAACGTTCTTGAGATATGAGAAGATTGAGATTTTATCATCATTATCATTGAACTATTATTATGAAGCTATTTTTATGGAGGAACTTCACACTACTCTCCTGACATGACTAATGGGACATTATTTATCATATTGCAGTTCTGAGTCTAATTTCTTATTTTAAAATATTGTTTGCACTAATTCATATTTAAGGCTACGTCCTACAGCCATTAATATTAAAGGCTAGTACGGAAAAACCCGTTCATTAAATCATAAGTTATTCGGGTTATACAGTTTTTCGTTTGAGTTGAGTTATTATTCTTCATACGTTTTATACTTTAGTTACTATATTCCATCAGTATTAAATATTACTATCGATGTAAATTTTTTTTCGAAATTTATTCCACAAATCGCTAATAATAGTTTTTTCTTAAAATTTAATATAAAGTATAAGGAAATCGCGAACGCATTAATTGAAAAAATCGAATTAAATTACATTAGGAAACCAAAGATATTACATTATAAATCTTAACTATACACTGTCAATTATTTCTATTAAAATTACAGGTTATAGTTCTTCCTAAAAAAATAACTTCTAGAGGTTTTTTGGTCTTAGCGATTAAACTTTTAAAATCATAAAATTATTTATTAGCTATTTAATTTTTTATGGAAAGATAAGGAAGAAATATATATTTTATATCTTCCAAACAGCTTCATCTTGCAAATACACTGGTTTTTGATCATTTTAACATCTTTTTTTAGCTCTGGTTGACTTAAATGATTCACCTGATTAAATTGTTTTTACCCAATTTTAAATAATTTACCAATGTACAATTTTTTTAAAATTTCATTTATCAAATTATTTATTGAGTTAGTATTATTTAACAATACTCTTGAGTTTCTTAACAAGTGGAACTGAAGCGTAAAGAAGAAAACTTTTATGTTTAAGTAAATCAAATTATAGTTTTTTTTAAATATAGATGACACGTTATTTAGTTTCTGAAAAACTCGAGTTTTAAACAATTTAATGTTTAAATTAAAATAAAATTGAACTACCTAGTTATTAGTTAATTATACTAATTTTAAAAAAATATATATATTTCTGTTACAAAAATATTACTCTAACAGGTTTTAATTTGCTCTTCGAATATCTTTGGAATTTTTTCCAGTTGTGCATAAATTTTTTATTATTTGAGTTGCATCGCTTGTGTTGAATAATATTGAATTGAGAACACTGTAGAATCTTATGCTGGATGTGCATATATTTTTTTTATTTATTCAGATACCATCTTTATATTTTTTCTTTGTTAATATTTGAATCATGATAAATTCTTCATCAGAACAAAAATGTGTATATCATATTAATTATTTTTCGTATATTAAAAGTATTGCTTATTTTCAAAATTATCTTAGCCCCCCTGTCGGATGATTGCTGACCCCCTGTCGGGCTTAGTCTAGCGCCATTCTTGAGTTCAATTAATTTTTAACAGTTCTTCGGGTAGGGAAAGAATGTTAACACAAATAAAATAGCATCTCAACCTGCGTCAACGTTTTTCACTCAATAGGTTTGCACGCTACTCTAAGGTGTGATGTCATTGGTGCCTAAATGAGTCATTCCTAGTGTGCATCCGGTGCGTCATATATATCGATAAAATCAAGGAATTTATAGGTAGGTGGGTAGGTATTTTGTTTACGTCACCCTAGAGCTGCACAATGGGCTTTTGGTAACGATCTGGGAAACATCCCTGAGGATGATCCGAAGATAATTTTGATCCTCTGCTGAGGGGATAGTTACCCAGCTTTGGTAGTCCGATGACCTGCGCACGAACTCAAGCACTTTACGGTAGAACAGTTAAACGAGGACGGATACCACACACTCTCGGTCCCTACGCTGACTGATCAAAGGTTTCAACGACCCGCTTACTGACCTCAGCCAGTGATGCTTGACTTCAGTGCTCTACTGGGAACCGTGTCTTTGCGATTTGTCTTCTGTGGGACAAAAAATAAAATATAGAGAACAAACAGATAGAGTTCCTCAGGTCTATGGAATAATGATATTGGATATCACGCTTTTTCAAACGTAGGTGTAAAAAAGAAGCAGAAGTAGTAACCCGGAAGTCTTGCGAATAATTTTGTCTTCAGCGCCATCTAACCACCCATAAACATTTCTCTTAAAACGCATGCGCAATTCTTTCCAATCAGATGGCAATACAATTACACCTTGTTATTTTTATGCTTGGCATACAAGTTTTTATGTTACGTTCTCGAAGTTAAGTCAGTGTTATGTTAAGAGGTTTACTAAATACCCATCATATAATAATCATGTCACGGATTATCAATATATCTGTTCCCGTGTTAGTTAATAAATTTTCAAATATGAAACGGATTTTGCATTGAATATCGCAAATCAATAAAACTTATTCCTTATTTTTGTGATTGTTTGACTTTTTAAAGTTAGTTATGATAGGACAATTTTTGTCTAAATCAATTATTTCCATTACTCTTGTAAGTGATTTTTAATTAATCTCTACGATGATTATTGCTATCTCCTTTATTATAAATTGAATGTTTCTTTACAAATCATGTATCAATGTTTAGTAATTACTAATTTTTTCTTCAAATTAACGTTAAAGGAATGCATAAACAAAACATTGGGGGCGCAGAGAAACATCAACATTGTACCTTTAAATTAATAAAATAGTATTAATTATTTCATAAAAATTTAACTACGTAACAGTAATCCTAGATGGAATGTTCAAATAAAAATCTATTGCCCTCTTTTTTGTAACGTTTACACGAATATAGATGATTATTGACGAAGTAAGTGATAGTTGACAAGTTTTCTTCGAATTTTCAAATTAAAGTGAAATTAATCCATTCTCAGTTTAAGTTTTTAAAAAAAATCAAGCTATTCTAATCAGAGTTGGAAAGGTTTTTTTAGGACAGAATGGATTAATCCAGGGTTTAAACCGACCTGACCAAAAACTAGTCACTCAAATTATGTCACAATTTAAAAAAAAATATTGTAAAAAATAAAATGTTAATTTTTGAACAAGAAACAAAATGAAGCCAAGTTTTACTTTTATTAAAAAAGTTTATTATTATTTTTTATATTGTATTATTTATCCTTATGCAAAAACCTAATTTATCAGTAGTAGTACAAACATATTTAAGGGATAAAATATTCGCTTTTGTTGTTCAATGAATTGTGGAGTTTCAAAAGTAATAAATCTTTTCCTACTTTGTTATTGTCCTTTATTATGTAAATTCAATGTTTTGGACACTTTGATACAGTTTAGGACAGTTTAAGACAGTAAAACCCAAATGCCCTGTCCAAAACCAGTTTAGGACATCCAAAACCCCATCCCTGATTCTAATACTTTTGCTTAAATAACTCTAGGTTTCATTTACATTTACTCCAATTTTTTATTAACTTTTAGGATTTTTTAAAATTTAAAACTGACTGTGATGTACGTAACACAGAATATTACAAAAGTTTTAACTATTGAAAAATTATTAAAAATCTGAATATAAGTATTATAGTGTTAACAAAAAATATTAAAACTGCTTGATTTTTAATAAACTGTAATTTAATTAATAAATAATTGCTTTTAAATCCTGTAAATATGACATATTCATACATAGCAGAGTTGCTTTTTAGTTAATTATTTAGTGTTAGCTATTAAAATTATTCATTACTTTGTTCATTATACTCATCTGTTCTATATTACACATGGGATAATATTAAATATTTATTGATGTTATTCATGTAATTCTGATTTTATTCTTTTACCATACTATTTATTAAATATATAATATTTCTATTGCTAAATATTAATGTTTAATTAACCCTTTTAGCTTTGTTTAACCTTATACTTGACAATGTTTATTGAAATTCTATGCTGCTCAGAAATATTTTTTTTTCCCAACACTTGTTAAGTATTTTTGAATTACTTATCAATTCTTCTACACTTAACTGTGTTTGCTCGTTTGTGCATATTATGCTTATATTAATACTTGCACTATAATTATGTTTAATATTATATTATTTGTGAAAAATATAGCTAAAACTATAATGAATTATTAACTACTTCTTCAAAAAACATGGTATTATTAATAACTATTATTTCAAATATATTCACCATTCAATTTATGCTACAGTTGTTAATTGTTATAAATCTAAATATTTATATTAATCCTTTTATGCCTTAATTATGGCAGATTTTTAGCTTAGGTATGAAACTAAGGTGATCGAATTGTCTGATCTCAACATATGAAACTCATTTTGATTATTGATATTTGTTGCTAATGCTTTTTTAAGTTCAACAAGAAGGATAAAAAAAAAACAAATTCCTAGAATAATTTTTTATCAGATTTTCATTTACGGAAAATCCATCTTGAAGGTTTGAAAGCCTCACCATAAATATGCTAATTATTTGCTGCAGATAATATTTTAAGTTTTGAAAAAAAAGCAATAAAATGGTGTACTTTTTTGAATAAACATGCCTTTTCCTGAAAGATTAGGATTCCATGCAGAAAATAATGTTTAATAATTATTTATTGTTATTTTATTTAACATTAAAAATATATAAACTCAATTTTTAATATGATATTATGATGCGTGAATTACAATTTGAGTAATCATTTTTAACAATGTATATTTGCATATATATTTCGCATGTATTTTTGCTAAATCAATTATTGATCAAAAAGAAAAAATTTTAAAAAGTATGTTTTTTTTTAATGAAAAGGTGTTTTTTTTTAAATGAATTCTAGTAATTGAAAGTGCTTAATTTCTGCAAACTTTTAATTCTTTTTAAAATAAAAATTTTGTGCTTAGAACGCTAGCGTTTTTATAAAAATTATCATATTTGCCAACAACTTGATCATTGTATATGACAACTAAGTCATTTAATAAATTTTAGTCATATTTTTGATGAAATTTTGTTCTTATTAAGCAACTATTTTCATAGCTTTCGGCAAATATTTTCATGCTTTAGGCTACTCAAAGTAACTATTTTATTCATTTTTTTCTGTGGCAAACATGGGTGTTGGGCCCATGTTTGCCACAGAAAAAAAGGTTGTGAGTTTGATCCCGTCGACAGAAGCTTCTCCGTTTAGTAGGGTGACCCGGGGTAATTCACGATCACTCTGTTTCTGGGGTAAATAATGATCACCTAGTGTGGGCCTACTGTTGAGAT